GCCTTCTCGCTTGCTCCCACTAGTGCTTATGCTAGTGGTACTAATATTATCGGCCGTCAAGATGTCGATCTTGATGGCGCACCTTGCCTTTATTATTTTCCCTCACGCGGTGCCGCCGTTTCTTCTTGGGACTTTCACATGTCCCCGCCATCCGTCCCGTCGGCGGTCCCCGACACGTAGTCCCACCGACGGTCCCCGACACTCAGTCCCGTCGGCAGTCCCCGACACAATTTGCCTCGGATGCCATTATTTTTACTTAGTCCCACGTGGCCCAGGGTGCCTTTCCCTGAGGTGTCTCACGTTCCTTGGGCACTTTGCCACCCTACGGCGACCCCTCTTCCTTATCTTTCTTGCGCCTTGCGTGCGCCTTGTCCTTTGATCACGGGGCCTCCAACCCGAGGCTCCCGTAGGTGGCCCCCATGTTGGGCTCTTATTCTCTAGGCTCCCTACGACCTCCGGAGCCGTTCGTCTCTCGACTTCCTCATTCTCTTGTCGCTGCCGTGCCGCGTTTGGTGGTTCAGGGGTCTTTTGGCCTTAGTCTTATTGAGTTCCAATGACCCTCCCGGCCTCATGCTATGTTCTATGTGCCCCCATTTTTGCACTTATTCTCTTGTCGTCGCTGGTTTTCTCCTCGTGTGGTCCTCACCCTAGGGCATCACTCCCTCTTGTGGCCTAATCCTTTGTCTTTCCTCTCTCCTGCCTCCTCACTCCAAATTTCTCTGTCGTGCACAATTCGTCTATATTCAATCTTTTGACTGATGGGAAGTTATTCAGGACCCACCAGTCCCGACACATTCCCCCCACTCATTCGCAATGTCCTCATTGCGCACCAATCTCTTGTTAGTGGGTTTTGGAGGGATAGACGGGAGAGGAGGATGGAGTGTCCTAGGTGGTTAGTTTGCCAGGGTCCGTTTTGTCTTTTCTTGTTCCTTTCTCGGATTCTTCTAGGCTTCAACCCTTGGGATGGGGAGAGTTGTATAATTCAGGCTCTCTTCATACTTCTCATGTCTCATTCATCACTCGGATAACATCAAACCCCTTCCGTTTTGTTTGTCACCCTCAGAGCATCAATCCTCCTTTTTCGTCTCGTTCATCACCCTCAGAGCATCAACCTCCTTTCGTCTCGTTCATCACCCTCAGAGCATCAACCTTCTTTCGTCTCGTTCATCACCCT